TTGCCTTTAAGTTTCAATCAGTGCCTGTGCGTGTGTAGTGCAACATGACAACATGCATCCAAAGACGAATGGCTTTTGGTAACCTCATGAGCGAGGGAATGAGAGGAGAGGGGGGTTCTCATCTACATTTGGAACTGAATCTACACTGTGCTAATGAAATGCCACTGAACAATTTTAAAGAAGTTTCTTCAGCAGTTCGAGATTGTTACAAATCCTTTACTCGACCACGTTTTGACAGTGCCGACTGCAAACGACATCTCCTCAAAAGCCCCTGAAGAAGGCAATACTGCCGAAACGTAGGTCGAGTAAAGGTTTTGTAACAATCTCAGGATTGCTAAAGAAACTTCTTTGAACATTGCTGTCGTCATGCTGAGATATAATGGAGAGTCGATCAAGGACTGGTCCATTTCAGATCGATTTGTTGTTGCTTATAATCCGAAGTGCACCAACGGCCGTGACCCGTACTCGATATCCAGAGATGGCTGGCGAGAAACCGTTTTCGGAAAGTCATGTAAAGATAACTTCTGTCCTTCTGGATATAGATGTCAAGATGCTGACATCTTTGCTTATTGCTGCTGAACCTTGTAAATATGTACATCCGAATGGCCAAAGTTTGATTCTTCAAGGATTTTTTTAAAAATAAACATTTATTAATGTGCGCTCAATTCTCGAGTATGGTACAACTATCTAGTTCCCGCATAAGAAAAAACTCATCGACAACTTAGAGAGGATACAGAATAACTTCACCAGGAAACTTCACCAGAGTTCTAGCATTCAATTCTGCTAGCATTTCCCGAGACTTAATCAGAAGCAGAATCCTCAGCTTATAACCACTGTATTTAAAGGCAGTTGGCACGATAATGTGGTACTATTTGTTTTCAATTTGGTACCTAAAATGTTAACAGGGCGTTATATAGTGAGAAAATGGTGAAATAACGAAGGGAAACGTTTATACACCTGCGAAGTAAAGCCTTCGTTCTTAATGACTCAAAAATCAATTTCGGACGAGTTTCCCGTAGGCATCTTGCCAATAACCGCTACGGTAGGTACGGCTGCACGTATGTACTCATATATCCATGCAGCACCGCGGCCGCTTCATACCAATCCCTTCGCTTCATATTTTACTTCGCAAATGAAGCAATACGAGCATCAGGTACGGTCGTCCATTTGTGGGCGGGCGGGCGTGGTGGGCGTTCGGGTCGGTATGTTGTAGCTTGATAGGGCCCTTATAAGGGTACCTTCCTTGGAAAGGCGTTATGCAGCGCCTGCTCAGGGTCGCGGAATTCCGTCCTGCCAGGCGTATCAATCCTACTCGTCTTAGGGATTTATCGTGCCAACTGCCTTTAAGTGTGAGAAAAAATGACATACTTATCGTATATAAGCTAAATAAATGAGCGCTCGTCTGTGAGTTTTTCTGCGAAGCCTAGAATCTGAGTTGTTGGTTCGTTGGCTACTTTATAGCCCTAAAAATGTCTATGCGATCAGAAAAAAAAGAACGAAATCGCCCGTCTGGCAAATTCAGAAACGCCCTTCGAAAAACTGGGATGATATCGTACGCTTCATCCTCACGACGGCATGAGAAAACCGTGACACTTCTAAGTTTGAATGCTCTTTCGTCGTAGAAAATTCTTCCGCAGGTGAACTGCTAAGAAACGGAAAAAAATGAAGAAAAAGTGGCCTGGGTAGGCACGTTCGATGGAGAAGTCACGTTATTGTTAAGGTTTGGGAGAATTTAATGTAACGGAGAAACTCAAGTGTTGTAAACTCACTCGTCGCCATCTTGCTGTTGTTGCGGAACCCTTTGCTTGGTTCTGCAGTTGCAAGTTTGCAGTATCAGCGAGCGTGCTCTTATTGTGTACTACGCAAAGCTGCACACACCACCAGGTATCACAAGAATATTGGGTTATGGGCAGAAGTCTTGACCGCCACCATGATCTTTCTCACCCTCTCAGCTTGACGGCTTTTGTGATTAGCGTGACGGTTCACACGCTACCGCGGAAAGTGTGAGGTCCGACTTCGAGCCCCGCCTGGAGTCGAGACTTCTGCCTACATCTCAGCACATTGCCCACAACTCAGCCCAATTGCGATACCTTTCGGAATTGCGGTAAATAGTAGTTATCTTACACCTTGCACACCTTTAATGCGTGCAAGGCTTACATCCGTAATATTCTGGAATACATACCTGCTGTCTTCTAACCCAATAGTAAGAAGGCCATTAATAGACTGAAAGCTGCGCAGAACAGCTTCACCAGGGAAGTTCTAAGTATAAGCTAAGGCTGTTATTGTTTGATAACTGCTGTTTGACGTCGCAGTGCGCGAGCCGAAGGTTATCGCGAGAAGTTATCTACGCGGCCGCCTGGCAAGCGGTAGATGCAGGTCGAGTCCAGTCCGGTCTGATTTTGCCCACAAGGCATTGTTGCGACCCGAAAAAAAAACCTAACTAGAGCATTGGGGTCGATCTACAGAGACATACCATGAGGAACACATACCACGCTTCAGGAACAAAAGCTTGTGAATCGAAACCACTCTCTTACAATAGGGAACTTCTCTATAATAGGTAAAGTGATAGCTACTACAGCCTCTTCTCTCTAAGTTTTTGCTGATTCTTGTGAGTTTCATTCTTTTTTTTTTCTAGGTTCTCTCTTTTGAGAGCTAGTTCAGTTTTACGGGCTCAAGTCGTTTGAGATGACTTTTATAATTCTTTCTAATATGCATGTACCTGCGTACGTGGAATAAATACTAAATACTAAAACATCACCATCAGGTGCTTTTACTCTTCTATGATTTCTCACCTGGAAAGACGACACGCGCGACAATGTTTTGGAAAAAAAACCCAGCTACCGTCAACAGAGGCGGAGGTGGTGTAGTGACAAGTGGCGCGCTTACCACTCGCGCGGTCCTGGGTTCGAATCCCAGGTCGACACCCGCCCAGGCCAACCAAGCCTTCTACCCTCCGGGGACGGTAAATTGGTACCAGATTCGTCTGGGAGGATAAAACACTGACTTGTACATCGGCTGGCCCCGCAAGTCATTGTATAGGCCACATCGCATTCAATAAGCCACTACGATTCTGAATGGAAGTAGAATGCGTGCCGCATCCCACAAAGGGATTGATTAACGGCGAAGACTTTATCCTTTATCCTTTTATTTTCTTATTCTCAACAAGATATTTCGAAAATTCGAGATTCGAAATATTTGGTGGACGTTCCCGTAGTGCTGCAACAAAATAGCTTGGTTGCAGCGTGTAGGTACCCAAACAAACCACAATGAAGGAAAATTTGCTGAAGTTTCATGGTTAGGATTAGGTATAGTGCCACATAGAGCTTTTATTCTTTCTCCAGCTCCGACGTGTACAACCCCACTGTTAGATCCCTTCTACCTGATGGAAAATAGAACAATTCATCTCAACATTTTCTAGGAAGCAATCTCCAAAGGTCAGGGTCGCGCCTAGACAGCATAGGTAAAGAGGGTCAAACTCGATAGTGAATTTCGGTCTGCGCAGTTTACTTCCGCGTTCTTTTGTCGAAGTCGCATCTCTTTACCGACGATGACCTTCGTATCAATAGGGGGAGGTGGGCTTTCTATCTATGCACTATAAATTGCTAATGAAAGGCTCTTCTTGAAATTCTTTCTCCCTGACCAACTTCAACTTTTTGTTTGCTTCCGCATTCAATACACTTAATGAGGCGAAAAATTTAATTTGATTCCTGAAACGTACATGATGTGTAAATGATTTTGGCTCTTGTTGGTTTGTCTCTGTGCAGGCTCCAAACAAGAAACTAGCAGAAATGTTTCATTTAGGTGATGAAACTATTTTTGATATTATTGGTGAGCACACAGTTTTTCACTGCGGAGTCACAGAAAGACAAGTTTGTTTTTAGTGTGAGATCTTATGTTGCTTTTAGCGTGTTACATAGTACTCTTTTACTTATTCAGAACTGGACCATGCAAGCCCAGTAACGGTGGTCTCAAGTGCACCAAGAAAGGTGGCGAATTCATTCTTGATTTTCAAGAGCTCTAAACTTCGAAACTGTTATACTCTAGTTTCCCCTACTTCCAAAGCCGAGAAAGCTAGAGATTAGCCAGAATCGCTCTTCGAGAATCTAGTCCAAACTAGAGAATATTCGGCATAGTCGCTAAGTGGTGTAATGGTTGTTGAAGGGGGTCAAATCAACCTAGTAGAGTCCAGCGGAGCTCCGTTTCAGCGTAATTGATACCATTTCTTTGGAAACAAGAAGACACTGTTTTTATAAACTGTTTGACCCCATCAAGACATTGCGTGGACCAAATCCTATGAATAGAAACCACCAAAAGCATTAATCAATGTAGAAACTGGTCAGGATAGCTGGACATTCTTAAGAGGCTCTGGAGAAGGCGAATCTTTTTGAGATGTCGTTCAGTACGAATCTCGTAGGGAGGAACATTTCACCCACACACAGGTATAACCGAGATTGAAAACCGTCCTTGGGGAAGTAAAATACGTGGCGTATTCAGCGAAGGATTCGATCAGTACGGAAAACATAATCCCGCCTTTGTTTCTCGTCCGTCATCGCATCGCTTGCGAGTCCATTGATATGCCCCCGCTGTGCGCATCGCATTGAACTTCCTCAGGGATTGATGGAAAGAAGCGCGACATTGCATTCTTTCACGGAACGGTCCCACTTGGCATAAGCGTCCTATCTCATCAACCATTTGTCGACCTATCGTAAAACTCTACCCTTGGGTCCAGTCCACACTTTCTGACGCGCCTTGTTGTATGCAGGGATAATCACTGTAGTAGGGCATATCATCCTGCTGACAAACCGCAAGGCGTACGTTCTTTAATCTCTATCCAGGGAGGGGTGCCAGCGCAGAGGTGAACTACACCGAAGAGTGATCGAGCGAGAGGTGGCAAGATTTAATTTGGTTTTTTCTGGACCGTAGAAAAATACGGCCTCTACGGCCAACTTACGCGTAAAACGTAGCAACCTCCTCCCGTACTCTGCAAGCGGGAGTCAAAAATGAGTGGCGTAATGGAGGGTGAGATATTTGAAGCTGAGAGAACGTTTCCTAATCATTTTTCGAGCTCTATGTCTCCGAAACAGGGAGAACATTTTAAGATGGTTTTAGGAGTTAAGGCACTGATCGACCAAGAACGTCTGTTCATCATGACCAAACCCTATTCTCCATGCAACGTTATGTGATAAACTGGCGACTTTAAAACCGCTACTTACTTAATCCCCACAGTCTTTCACCTGCTCATAACTTCGTGCCCAAAATTGGAATCGTTTGAATCAATGAGCCACCGCCAACCCTAGCTCTGCGCCCATAGGAATAGAGATTCTGATTGATTTCCTTCGCCTTGGCTTTTCCTAGTTCTTGTTCTTCAGGACTGCTCTGAAACCGGATCTTATATCTTAGGTTTGAGTCCGCACACCTTTGTCCACTACGGTCTTTCTTACAATTGAAGAGCTGTCACACTGGACGGAGATTGGCTCGTTTCAAGGGTGCTCTTTATATATTGTGCCAGGCACTACCCATCCCAAACGTGACCCGATCGCCTCAAGTCGCTTCTCAGGCAAAACCGAATTCCCGGGAAAGCAGACAAATAAACAGTTTTCCAGCCTTTCTTTATCCTTTTTGATTTTTATTATTCTTTTATCTTCATTCTGTGAACCCAGAGATTTCAGGATACTACGAGACTGTTCAATGTGATGCCCGTGGCTGCTATTGCGTAGCGGCCCATACTGGCTTAACTGCTTTCGATACCTACACATCGAGTAGTAAGACGCAACCGAAGTGTTCAGGTAGGTCATTCCTTGAAGGATACTTAATCAAAAACTCTGGTTTCTTTCAGAGAAAAGAAACTTCCTGTTTCGTAATTAAACACATAGATCAAGCTAGGTTTGGCTTCCATTTCCTGAGTATTGTGGGTGGTCACGTTCTATATCACAGTGATGTTGAGGGTGTAACTGCATGCTTCACTGAAACCTGGCTGCAGTTGAGCTTCTTGCCGTTTCGAGGCAACATTCACCGACAGGGTACAGCATCGCTGTGTCAAACACATGCGGGTCGTACTTTTTCTCTGGTGAGGGGGTCGTATTTGGTCGTTGGGAGAGGGGGGGGGGTCGTATGTGCCTTTGAGAGAAATTTGTCGCGTTGGTTTTCCGGTTGTTGACTTTTTGCGCGATTTTTCCTGTTTCATGTGCACTATAAACCTCCCCCCGGTAGAAGGCACGGGCACATCGTTGTTGGGGAATCCCCAACAGGGGAGGGGGGGGGGCGAATTTGGCAGCCAGGAGAGGGGGGATCGTATTTAGGTTGAGAAAGTTTATCATGATAATTGATTTTTCTCGCTTTTGGGAGGGGATCTACTTTCTATCCTTTCTAGGAGTGGTGAATGTTGGTTGACTTCTGCTTGATTTTCTTTTCATCCTGTTTCTGGGGGAGGCGTACTATATCCTACCCGCCCCCCCCCCCCCTCGGCAGCAAAATTTGGTGGAAGAAACTGGGAAATGGGAAATTTGTAGTAGGCGGGGAAATGGGGCCGTACCTACAAAACTACTACTCACCCATACGATCTTACCTGTTCACCGTTCACATCGACAGGCTGCCCAAAACAAGGCTGGAAATTAACAGTTGTGCCTGAACATGAAGCTAGATGCTAACACTACAGTAGTTGCTGTGTAACGCCACCACATTTGCGCTCTGAAAGTTATCACAAGAATGCTGAGCTATGGCAAAAGTGGGCAAAAGAACCTCAACGGTGCACTTGAACCCCACTCTCCGCGAGTAAACTATCCACTGCGTGTAAAGAATAATGTCGAAAGTACCCGCGAATTCGAATTCTCGCTAATGCATTTACTCCCGTGAATTAACATTTTAAACGCAGCATCAAAAATTATACAAAGCAGAAGAATGACTAGAGCATCACCAGAGAGAAGAATCACTATCGCAGGCAGTCAGAAGCACTGTTGGCTTGACTAGCAATAGTTCCTCAGATGCCTGAGCGTCCTGCCTGCGAGACTCGAAACGACTCTGAGTCAGCATTACACTCACCGTGGTCAAAACAGTTATGCCGTGTTGTCACACGGGCGGCAGATGTTTTCGGGCCAAGCGGATGTGATAATCATGAATTAAGGGTTAAATTACTCCTGTTTCTAAGACGAGATTTCACCTCATTTGAAGCGCAGGGGAACTTGGTGGCGCCACTCGTGGTGCGGACAGGGTGCAGCATCGTTGTGTGGAACACATGGGGGTCGTACTTGGCCGCTGGGAAGGGGGGGGTCGTATTTGGTCGTTGTTGAAAGAGAGACAGGGGCCGTATTTGCCTCTGAGAGAAACTTCCCGCGCTGGGAAAAAATTTTTCTGGGTTGCTGACTTTTCGCGTTTTCTCCCGCTTCACGTGTGCTATTTCACCCCTCCCCCTCGCCAAAAATTTTCTGGGTGGAAGACTGGTAGGAAGTTGGTGGGAACTTGTAGGGAAGTGGTAGGCATTTCACACATCACGCTGTACCCTGGTGTAGACGCCAGACGGTTTCGGGCCAAGCGGATGTGATATTTGGGTACAGGATGTGAAACAAACCCGTAGGGACAAATTGTCAGTCATACCTCCCTCGGAGAAAAATGTCGATAAAGAATTGGCCTGACTCCGGAAGGTTGGGAAGTAACGAGCAAATAAGGCCAAATTTCTTAATCTATTCTACTTTTATATCTGCATAGAGTCAACTAGGTCTCTCAACTCTCGGGAAGAAATGATAGAAACATAGCCATACATTTTCCACTGCAGCAATATTATTCATTTAAGGCTGTCATAACGAACTGAAGAAACTGTTCGCCAATGGACCTGTGAAAGAGGGAACCTTTGTCCCCAAATGCGATATTATTCTAGGTATGAGTTTTTGCTGATTGTGAATTTCATTAGACTTTTTGCTTTTGCTCTCAAGTCCTTCAGAGAAAGTTGGCGCTTGGCGAAAAGTGCTGTCAAAAAGGGGCTGGCAAAATTCGCCTTAATTTTGTTAGCAGAGGGAAAGATGTAAAAGGTTCCGATGGTGGGTTCGGGGACATTAGAGGTAGTGCCACGATGATGTGGTCGTGGGGGAGGTAATTACTGCCAATATCACTGGCGGAGGGGTTAAGTGGTGTGTAGCCGAA